ATATATATATAGGTATGTATGTCTGCATGTATTTGCGTATACCTCAATAAACACAAGTGTATGTAAAGGCATATGTTGCAGCCAGGCATATGAGACATAAATGGCTCACTTTTTCACCAATATGTTAAAGAAAATTCTCATATAAGGCAAAGAAGAGAGAGAGAAAAGAGAAATGTGGTGGAAACGATAAAAGAAATGAAGAGCTGACTATAACACTACCTCAACAGCAATATTAAATTATCGATCACTCTTATGATCTACTCCACTGTTCAGTGCCATCTAATTTTGCAAATACGTCTATTTGTCGCAAAAAAAGCGTTTGTCCTATTCTCACCGAAGAAATTTTCTCGAAATCTACCAGCATCTCTTCTATATTGTTTCTATCTTTTAAGGCTTCCTTTCTATTACTTGTAAATTCTTCTATTTTCTTGTAGGTAACGATTTTGCTAGATTTTTCTGTATAACGGATGTTATTCTTCCTTTCATAGTCTCTGCTCACGCACATTTGAGTAAAACGAATCTCTTAGAGATATCTGAAGAAATGAACGGGTTGAATAATACAAAACATACTTATCGATTTGCCGCAAAGCCATACTGTTTTAACGTTGTGTTAAATTTTTGTGATATTATCAAAGAACTTTCTCAGGAAAAATCAATTCTAGATCGACGTAACTGCCCACGGCTCTGTACATTCTATAATTATCGACCCGTGACGATAGATCGGACGATCTGCAAACATTTCGACATAAACGGCGACAAGGACGGCGGAGTCAGCACGCAATAACTCTGTTCAATGAATTGTCTACCTAAAACCCTTGTTGTCAATATGTTGATCTGAACAGCTTAAAAATCGTTGACGAAACTATAGTGTGCGCTTACAATGAGCCAGGAGCTCGAGAACGAATACGTGCATTCGGTGTACTCTCGACTAGCCACCTATCAGAATAAGGAGCATCGCCGATCATCACCAAGAATCTGGCCAAAAGTACTGAAATTTGTCGAACAGCAAAGTCCAGGTAGTGTTGTGATTGATGTAGGTGAGTACAGTTGTCACTAATCTGAAATGAATGACTTTTAAGGGATTCAGAGATTAGAGGTGCGCTACGGTGCAACCCATAGCCGTTTGATTCCGCGCCAAGACAAGTCAAGTTCTCCACACTTCAGGGATGCAAAAAAATTGGTATCAGACTTGGTTGGGAGTATGAAGCACTGACTTGACACATCAGTAGGCAACTGCAAGTCATTGTATACGGTAAATATGCATTCAACCACATCTATGATACTACGATTGGAGCTGAATGCATGGGACCACTTAAGGATTGCTCAACGCCGAATGCTTTATCTGTTCTTCACCTTATTTCTTATGAATCGATTAAAATGAACGTATTTCAAAGCGTGCATATTTGATTCGAGCTGGCATCAATTGTTCAAACACCTTAGCTAAACATGCCGTTGACAAGATCACCCATGCAGTAACCTTGGTTGGTTACCTTGAAAAGGAAACCAACGTCGTCGTAGTTGATGTTAACGACAAACCATAATTTCCCATCTCTTCTACATCAGCATGAAAAAAAAATCGTATCCCATCAAGAAAAAGTGAATCACCTTCAAAACAACAAAGAATTTTCATAAATTCACAAAATCCTCGAAAAAAAGCCTTGGTATTTCCATTTCTCAGTCTATATTTCTATCCCCCTTACCAATTTCTTACGGAACCCAACAAAATTTCTCGAGCTATGATTTGTATCATTCCCTGAAAACCAAGACTTAGATTCCAAGGGATCCACGTAGAGTTGCGTCTATTGTTTGCTCACGATCACCTAAGAGGACCATTCTTACGGTCAAGGAGAAATCCTTCACTAGGTTATTGAGCTGACATGAAGTTCGTACTAAGACATCAAAAAGAAACATTCTTACTGCAGATTACAGTATAAGTGTGTTACCAGTTTCAGGTTGTGGTGAAGCGAAATACACCTGTCCATCTGTACTGATGATTGGCGTTGATACCTGTGCTGACGCTCTCATACGAAGAAATCGTCGTTCGGCTCCGGGTCTCGATCTATTGTTAGCTGATGCCTTAGCACTACCACTTCGGTAAATTGCTTCAATCATTGTTTAAACATCCGGTGGTGATCAATCCGCTAGGGATTCGCTTAGCACTCGATTCCATTCGTAGCATTGTAGAGGTGATTCAATGCATATTTAGTCTACAAAATCAGTAGTGTGGGCTCAACAATCTATTAAGTCACTCTTTCCACCTTCCCAGAGAAGTTTGGTGCCAACTGACCGATTCAAGACGGAAGGTGGTAGATTGGTTTTTCTGGCAGGCGAGAATGAACCAAAGATGCGGCGCCTGAACACATAAGAAACTAGTCTCGGTTAGACTTCGACTACTGACAACTGTGATTAGATTTTAGGCGTGCAGTAAATACTTATAGGCAATCCTATTTGCAGGCGGGCACCACAATTTGAAATGGCGTTTATTAGAGTTGTTTTCAAATTCTAACTATTTACTGAATTACAGAAGTGCCAACGATGAAATTCTGTAATGTTTTCGGCCGGAGTTCTAGAAGTTTCACCCATGTCCGCTAGAGCCAATATTTTTCCTTGCAAGAACTAACAATTTTTTATCCTTTTTAAAGTTTCATGCAAGATGTTTTCAAAATTTCAATAGTAGAGAAGTGCCAGGTTATTAGCGCACAATAGAGATCAGGGCGAATAATGGCAGGATTTCGGAGAAAGCAGGTTACCCTAGCAAATTTTACCCAGTCTCTTAGGTCGTTCAACCTTTCTTTCCTCCTTTTGTGATCGTTTCCTCAAAGTTAGCCATCTACGGAATACAAACATTGTATAACCTTTGTCATGATTACTACGTATGTATTTAAAATGTTAATGACCACCTTAGACGAGGCGCTCTAAAACACTCTCCGCCTATCCTTCCCTCGCCCTTCGTCCTCGATATCGACTTCGCGAACTCGTACCAGTATTCTATGCGTTTGAGAATAAAAAACGCTTTTGTAACTAAATTTTTATGGTACTACGATGGCTCACCAAACTAAGCGTTCATCGGAATTCTCCGAGGTTCTAAAATTTTTATGTGAACTACTCATTTTAACAAAATCAGTTCTCCGTCAACCAAGCATTAATTCAATATTTAATAAACAATGATGACTTGAATTTTTATAAGAAAGTTGTGGAGTGCTTTTTTCCTCCGCTCATTCAAACATCTACAAGGAAGTTGTGACGTCGTCGTGGAGCAGACCGACCGCAGTACACACGCGGACAATTTTCGGACTACACAGAATCGCCTACAAAGAATTCGTTCAGTCAACAACGGCGAACAAAAGATTCTTCCTGACTTCATGCGAGCAAATACCGCTAACCGTTCAACCCCAGCACAAAAACTCTAATTTTACTCCAATGAACTAAACTTTTTCTGGGTTTTGTGGTTTCCGGTGGGTTAGCATCACTATTGGAATGTTGCCAGGAATCGACATCACCTTTGGACTGTTGCCAGTAGTTGACTTTATCACTGGACTGCTGCCAGTAGATTGTTGCCAATATGTAACACGACCACATTGCTCCCAAGAGGCGAGATCCTTGGATTTTTTCCAGTGGATCACATCAACATTGGATTGTTGCCAGCATGTTGGAATCCTGCCAAATAAGTGACACTATTGGATTGCTGCCAATAGGCGGAGCCATTGGGTCGTTGCCAGCAGATCGCATGACCATTGGATCGCTGCCAATACGTAACACCGCTGGACTTTTGCCAATAGGTGACACCACCGGACTACTGCCAAATAGGGTGGACCCTGAATTTTTACCACTAGATTACAGCAACAATGGAACGTTGCCAATATATGACACTATTGGAATCCTGCCAATATGTAACACCACTGGACTCTTGCCAATAGGCGTGGCCATTGGATTTGTGCCAATAGGAGAGGCCTTGGATTTTTACCAATAGATCACAGCAACAATGGAACGTTGCCAATATATGACACTATTGGAATCCTGCCAATATGTAACACCACTGGACTCTTGCCAATAGGCGTGGCCATTGGATTTGTGCCAATAGGCGAGACCTTGGATTTTTACCAATAGATCACAACGACAGTGGATTGCTGCCAATACGTGACATGACTGGAATCTTGCCAATATGTGCCACCATTGGAATTTTGCCAATACGTGACAATATTAGGTTTCTGCCAATAGGCAGGACCTTGGATTTGTGCCAATAGATCATAGCAACAATAGATTGTTGCCAATAGGTGACACTATTGTAGTCTTGCGAATAGGTGACACTATTGGATCGTTGCCAATGGATCACCCCACTGTTGGATTACTGCCAGCGTTACTTGATTGTTGCCAATAGGTATCAGCTACTAATTTGTCTCCAATAGTGGACATCATTACTGGATTGTAGCCAGCATTGGATTGTCCCAATAATTCAGTTTCAATGTGGACTGTTGTTAATTCGCCAGATGATAATCCTTCTTACTTTCCCATCGAACGTCTTCGTTTTGTGTAGTAACTGCTTCGTACTTGTGCCCGCTACTCAAATGCCGAACGTATAAATAAAACAATGATAAGATAAAATATCGAAGTAACAGAACCAAATAAACATTAAATATAAACAAAAATTATTTACAAAAACAATTGGAACACGATAGAAAACAAAAATAATGAATAATTGCTATGTGCGGAAACAAGTAATAGGCAGAAAAAGACAGAGATGTATAGATCCAAAGATAGGCACTAAGCCGCAACTAAGACAATATCGATCGATTTTAGAGACAACACGGCCGACGCGGTGCTGAATGTGTCCGTCTTGCATCATCTCTCTACCGCAAGACGACGGAAAACCGTTGTTGAAGTTAAGCGACATATCTGTTACGGTTAATTTCGTGCTGAGCCCTTTGAGCTCAGTCAACGGCCCAATGTGCGTCATTGTAGTCGGACAAAAAACGAACTACAACATTCCATTAAACGCTACTCGTTCGTAGAACAGTCGTTTTGCGAAAATTGAGATATAAACCAAAAACAACTCTGACTTTTGTTGCGGAGAGTTTTGTGCTAGAACATAATCCAGCCGAAAACGATTTCTATGACAGTTTCTTCAGGAAACTTCTAGCACTTGAATTGTGGTCGCAATGCAACCACTACGACGCTAACTTTCGCAAAACATCGACACCATGCCAGATCGGACCACGATTACACTTTCCGGAGCCTCACACGTTACGCATGGTTCCACTGAGGCCTTGCCTTGCCTTACTATCAGCCAGTTTTCTACCTAAGCCGTGATCACTCCTGTTGACGTGTGGGTGCTGATGGCGCCGTTAGAGTCAAAAATTGACTGACAGTAAGCAAAGAAACCGCCTCAGTGCTACCGTGTGTAACACATGAGCCTCCGGAAAGACTAATCACGCTTCGATCTGGCGTGGGGTCGAAGTTTTGCAAATATCTCAGCATCATAGTGATTGTATTTCACATCATACCCTTCGGTGAAAAATAATAACATGTAGTAAATGACAAAGTTGACAATGTGATATCGATTAACTGCTACAGAATGTGGTAGATGTCTTCGTCCTGGCGGACAAATGTTGATGTACGTTTGGGCGTTCGAACAACCGAACGGTACCTTTCCATCACAAAATCTTCTGGTCCCGTGGAACCTCAGCGAAACACCTATCAATGGTTTGTATTAGGCGTTTACAGCCTTCTTGTAAACAGTTATACTTGTACACGAACATACACTTCTTACTCATTCTATCATGCTTTCCTACTTTTTCATTTTTCCTGCTTTTCGTATCCACTTGAACGTCTTGTTGCTGGTGGAGTATTAATCCTATCTGGTCGCTAAAACTCAAGGAGAAATTACGAAAACGACATTATTTAATGCGCTCTATGCCAAACTTGTTTAGTTAACCAGACTTTCATAACAAGTGAAGAATGAAGAACGATCTTGACAAAATGATGAATGCCATCTATTGCTTATTTGTTACCATAATCCGACGAGCTGAGACGCGCTTTGTGCAGGATATGGAGAAGTGCCCTGTAATACACAAGTAGTCCGTGGTTCGATCTCACCGAGCTTTCCATACCTTTCGGGTGGGAAAATTAATTCTAGATTTCTCTGGGAGGATAGCAGCTCTGCCTCGATACATCGGTAGGTCCCAGGCGACCACGAGTCACTGTGTAAGCCAGATATGCATTCAATCGCCACTAACGATGCTTAATGAAGTCGAATGCATGGTGCACCCCTCAGAGATTGCCGACATCTTTATCCTTTTAATTTAAAACGTTAACCATGTTTATTTTATTCGAAATATAGGATTACGATACGGTCGCCTTAGTTTTCACTATTGTATAAGAAAATAGCGGTTATTCTGCGAATAAAAATGATGCCCCGAAAATTTAGAGTTGAGAAAAATAAATTCTAAAACACAAAGCATTCGACGTTCGCCAATCTTCTAGTTATGCGCCATGCATTAGACTCCATTCATGGCATCTTAGGGTTGGATAAATGCAAACTTAGCCTACACAGTGACTTATGTGGGCCTACCGAAATAGCTAGGCGTTTTAACTCTACCAAATAAGTCTCGTGCCAATTTTTCACTTCATGAGGATAGCGGGCTCGAGTGGTCCTGCTACTAGGATTGAACAACGAACCCTGTGTGTAATGCAGAGCACTCAAGCCACTGCGCCGTAGGCGTTCAAAAACATAAGAAGAGTAAAATCATGCTTGATTGATATGATTAACTCCTGTATTTTATTATATCGATGATAAGAAAGAACTATTGAGAAGTTGATGCTTTTTTCTTTGCTTAAAATTTAATAATCCCAACGGTTTACCGCCTCATCGTGGCTGCGAGGTGTTCTTGGGTGTACAGCGGAGGATTCATTCTCTGGCAGGGTCTCCCAAGCTGAGAAGGAGTCCGGCGTTTCCATCTGGAAGCCTAGCTAAGAGTAAACCAATACCAGGATCCGCCACCGTCTTGGTATCAAAGTCGCATGGTGGTAAATCTCCCTCTGATCCACAAAGGCTGCGACTGACCGTGGTGGTGAAGACCTGGAGAAGACTTTGACCAGGCTGTCCTCGGGTTTCCAGGGAACCACAATGGCTTAACCAGCAAATCTCCGAAAAGTGGTGATTATACTGGGACTCGCACAACTAGTGATGGCGGGCCGTTCAAATATCAAGTAAGTAAGTAAAATTTAATAAACCACACTTCGAAACCGAGACGTTTTTTGTTTTTATAAATTCATATCTGTTATTCCTACTTAGTATAAATTGATCGACCCCTTTATAATAATTACATTCTTGCGTAAGCAAGAAAAAATAAACTGCCAACTTTGAAAATCTAGTATTTACTCGGAAAAGATTGATCTCATCATCTCGTTGGTATCGGACTTCTTTCTATTGCAGGCCGATTGCCAAAAGTTAAATTTCACAGAAACTCAACGAAAGAACAAAGAGTTATACAGGTAAATTCATTAAATATCATCCCGCTTATACTGTAACGACTGTAAAAGTTTTTTTTTTCAATTAAAAAAGGCAAGAAACTGAACGGTGTCCAAAGTAAGTGTATGAATGTTTGTTTGAAAAGAAAATATTCGATAAATTCTTCGAGTTTTCACAGTCACTTTAGAGTCCAATGTTTGGCAAAAAAATCATTAGGGTGATTCACACAGATCGTTGGAATCCACTATGGGCAACGGTCTTAACTCAGTGATTAAGCTAGGGTAGCTTCTATGGAGTTAGGAGAAGTAGCTATGAGTACTTCTTACGCTTTAGGGCTTGTTGTCCCTTTTTCGTCATCCTTCACAAATATTTGCGTCCAACGCTTCATAGTCCTGTGCTTAGTGTTATGTGATACTCATTAACAGAACAATCCATTTATTTATTAACAAAACGATCTATTTACTCTATCGGTGACTAATATTCTAAGTTTTCGTGGCTTTTCTTCTTGCCCTAGTACCAAGCGGGAATTCGCAAAAGCCAGTAAAAATCTGGAAACGTATTTTCGAACATTTCCAAAACCTCACTAGTACTACTCTTTCACATTATAGCTCTAGTAGTATACTAAGATGCTCAAGTACGTACTACGATTCCTTATAAACTATAGGACAATTTTATTATTGTTATTATTATTTACATGGCCCATCATCATACCTACTCTGCGGATCCAAGCATTTCTTGCATTCGGTTGGTTTTCCTTCGAAATCAACGTCCACAATGGTCTTCGAACATTTTGCGTGTTGTTACCGCTCCTGTTTGAGGATTTCATTTTCTTCAAGAATGTCGTAGAATAATGGTCGAGTCGATTCTTCTTGCAATCTTAGAAGTAACAGAGTTGAGGTGCTCCCATGTGTATTGGAGGAAATCGTTAGGATGGGTCGAACCAGCACCATACTTTCTGACGGGCTGCACCACTGGCTATTCCGCTGCTTTCCTCCCCAGTATGGAATTATATTGAATTGTACTATGGAACTGTTGAGAATGAAACATATTACTAAGTGTTTACTTTATGTCAAATACAACCGTGATGATTCTGATATGAGCAGAACTCGGAACCCCAGGTGAACTTCCATCCACGATTACCTTTCCGGAGGCTCACGTGTTATCATTCACTGCACCATTGACGGCTTTGCTTTGCCTTTCTCTCAGCCAGTTTTTAGCCCTAACGGTGCTATTAGCAGTCACTCGTCAACGGAAATTTTCATTTCAACTGGGTTAACCGTTGAGGTTAGTTTAACTGTTGACTGGTGATTGGAGAGCACCGTTAGGACGAATGCTGTTGAGAGAAAGATAAAATAAGGACAAGGGCCTCGATGGTGCAGTGGATAACATGTGCTCTTCCGGAGTGGTAATCGCGTGTTGGAAGCTCACCTAGGGTTCCCAGTTTTGATAATATATCAGCATAATTGCGAATGTATTTTTGCGTTATACTCTGCCGTTGGAAA